AATTTTGTTAAGGTATATAAATATTCCATATTACTAATCTGTGATTTTTGTTAATATATTGTAGATGCATTTAACTATTATTGACATATTTCCTTATAAATAATAGAAGATTCCTAAACTTATATCTATTGACATATTTTGTGTGACTAAGTTGGAAGGCGTGGGGTAATTTACCAAAACCAAATTGTTAAGCATATTAAGCTATAATAATGATAAGATTATTAGAGAGTTAATGTAACATAACTTTCTAGTAATAGTCCATTTTAAAAAAAATCACACATGAAATCAAGTTATGACTTCTGTTTTAATATATAAGATAGAAAAGAAAATGAATTTCAGGAGGGACATATTAGAATTTTATACAGAGATAGTAGGGTAAAATGGAATAAAGTCCCTTTCAATCACACCCTTAAAGTAAAATATTTGACCCCCCAAGGCACCCAAAATAGAAATTTAGGGTCGTGAACAAAAACAAAAATTATCAGAGGCACTGATTTTTTTTTTTTTTTTTTTTTGTCGACATTCTGATTTCATTAAAGCCCATAAATGGGCAACTTACATGAGAAGAAAATATAAGAGTAGTCGGATAAAATTAAAAGTCCAAACCCACAAAGTTTACATTAAAGAAATAAACCATATTTGCTTCGTCGACAGGAAGTGCAACGCCACGCGTACGGTTTGGAATGTATCAATGAGATACGTTACACTACACGCGTCCTTCATGCGTTGATCTGCATCCACCACCGCCTGAGATTCTTCTCCGGCCTCCTGAGACTTGTTCCGCCGTGCATCAGCCAATCAACTTTCCAATTAGCAAACTCTGTGAAATTACCGATGAACTCTGCAGCTTCTTCTCAAGCCCTTTCACTCTAACCGTGACCAATCAACCGGAGAACACATACTACATCACAAATTAAGTCAGGGGAAACTTATAACCACTTTGAAGCAGATTCTTTATTGGACCGTAAGAACGCCAATTCTACTGAACCAACTTTGAAGAGGTCAAAGAAACCCATCAAAACTCAACCATCCTTGTCAGAGAAGCTTTACAAAGCCAAATTAATGGCTTAGTATAAAAGTAAAGACTGATTCTCTTGAAAGAAGGTTCGGTTGAAGTGATGGAGAAGGTATCCGGGTAATAGCCATCGGGGTAGAAATGAAGAACTGTGAAAGGTATAACATATGGACCCATTACAGTCCTTATTAGTCTCAACCAATACTGAGAAAAGATAAGACTTGATATTCTTCCCAAATTTGATTAAGAAAAAAACACATCAAAATCGCCACCGCGAAAGGGAAATCCGCAAAGGAAATAAAAGTCGATCGAAACCGATCGAATATCTTACAAACAAAAAACATAAATCTCTCAATCCCTCTGAAAGATAAGTTTTTGGTAAGAGGGAAGTTGAGAGAAAGTTTCTCTCTCTACATAGGAGAGAGAGCCTTTTTTTAAGTCCACAGGCACTGATTAATACAAGTTGAAAGAAAAAAATCAGAGGCAGTGATGTCTTTGTTTTTAGAACAATTATATCTGAATGGCCAACTATATCAGAGGCAGTGATGTCTCAGATCAAACAGTAACTTTCGAACAGAGGTCAGTTGTTGACAAAAAGAAAAAGAACAGAGGTCAGCTTTGTACATCAGAAACTGTCAAAATTTTCAGATTTTACTTTCTCTCTTTCTTTAAGTTGTTTATTTCAAGTTGAACTGGATTTTATTTAACAACATTAGTATTATATCAAAATTATCATGTTTGGACTCATTCAAAAATGTACTTATATCTGAACGCGGAGAAGTATCATTCTTTTTGTAAAAGTACACTAATTTTTATTTTAGTTTGGTGGGCCAAATATTTTTAATTTTTTTTAATTTTAAACATAATCCCATCCTCTCTTTTTGCCAAGAAGTATTATAATGTTCTGAATTGGAAAAGTTCTAATCTCAACAGAGAAATTCATCGTTGATTACTATTTAAAATGTAACGTGAGAGATAAAATAAGTCAAAAACTACTATATTGTTCTTAAATCTAAGCAGTTCTCACATCCGTAGAGAGAACTAGTCATAGTTGGCTTAATGTTTAATGGCTGGAATTATTTAGTCAAATAAAAACTCTTCTACAGTTTATAGTCTGATCAATTCTAATCTCAGCAGCGACCTAATCAGGGTAGTTTAATACTTAAAAATTCAGCTAACGCAAAAAGAGAAAGCTAATGGAGGAGAACATCTTATATAAATCTTTTGTTTCAGCGACAATCTTCAACATAGATTACAGGTATCTCCCTTTCTATTTTCTAGTGAGAAAAAATGGGCGAAACCACAATTCTTGTAGCGATAATTCTGACTGTAGTTATGAATGTTCAGAGCAGGATGGTCGCAGGAGATACTGCTGAAAGCAAGGTACTGGATATCAATGGATATATCTATAGAGCAGACGATGTGAACATATCTGACATAAAAAGTGTTGTTGTTTCTTTCTGATCAAATAGGTTTATGTAGTTTACTTGGGAGAGAAGGAACATGATGATCCTGCATCTGTCACCGAATCTCACCATCAGATGTTATGGTCACTTCTCGGAAGGTGTGTGAACAGTACATCTACATATCTATTGAAAGATGGCATGTTTACTTACTTGATTGTCATGTTACAGCAAAGAGTCTGTCCACGAATCAATAGTGTACAGTTACCGACACGGCTTCTCAGGCTTCGCTGCCAAGCTCACTGAGTCCCAAGCCCAGCAACTTTCAGGTAACTCTTCTCAGGTTTCTTGACTTGACATAATCCAAGTACTTAATTATTTGTCTGAGCAAAATCAAACGTTCTTGTTTGAGAACAGAACTGGCTGAGGTTGTTCATGTCATACCAAACACATTGTACGAACTGACAACAACTAGGACTTGGGAATACTTGGGCCTGTCTCCTGGTACTTCAAAGAGTCTCCTACATAAGGCCAACATGGGGAGGAAGATCATTGTTGGAGTGATCGATACAGGTTTGTGTTTACAGAGAAATGTCTTTATAATTCTCTCAAAATATATGTGTTTTATTGATAGAAAAGCATCAAATACAGGAGTGTGGCCTGAGTCTGAAATGTATAATGACAAAGGCTACGGACCTATACCGAGTCGTTGGAAAGGAAGGTGTGAATCTGGAGAACTCTTCAACGGTTCGATTCATTGCAACAAAAAGCTGATAGGAGCTAAATACTTTGTTGATGGCCTTGTTGCCGAAATAGGAGACTTTGATAGAACAGAGAACCCTGAGTACGCATCACCTAGAGACTTTAACGGTCATGGAACACACGTATCCACAACCATTGGCGGTTCATTTCTGCCTGATGTAAGCTACCTAGGCCTTGGAAGAGGAACTGTGAGAGGCGGTGCGCCCGGTGTTCGTTTAGCTATTTATAAGGCTTGCTGGCTTCAGTCAGGGTCCTGTTCAGGAGCTGATGTCTTAAAAGCAATAGACGAAGCTATACATGATGGTGTTGATGTTTTGTCACTCTCTTTAGGATCCAATGTTCCTTTATATTCAGAGACTGATGTGAGGGAACTGACTTCTGTGGGAGCATTCCATGCGGTTTCAAAGGGAATTCCTGTTGTTGCTGCAGCTGGTAATGATGGTCCCTCTGCTCAGACTATTTCCAACGTGGCTCCTTGGATCTTGACTGTTGCTGCAACTACTCTAGACCGTTCCTTCCCCACAGCCATTACACTTGGGAACAATATAACAATACTGGTATACCTAACATTCATGATGAAACAACTATAACAAAATGTTGTTCTGAAGATTTTGTGTTTGGTTTAATGCAGGGTCAAGCCATCTTTGTTGGTCCAGAACTCGGCTTTTCCGATCTAGTTTACCCACAGTCTGGGTAACATTGAATTATTTACTGCATGTTCTTGATCATTGATTGCTAAAATATGACTCACCAGTTGATGCCTTTCAACATGCAGTGATTGCCAGAAGCTATCAACTAATCCCAACAACACAATGGAAGGAAAAGTTGTGTTATGTTTCACAAGAGAAACAAGTGTGACCACTGCGGTAGATGCTGTAGTAGCAGTAACAAATGCTGGTGGTCTTGGGGTAATCATTGCAAGAAATCCTACACACTTGCTTCTTCCTACTCGTAACTTCCCAAGTGTTGCCGTAGACTTCGAGCTCGGAACCGACATTCTGTTCTACATACGCTCCACAAGGTATCATTCATTCATCACAAAATTAAAACTTCCAAGTACTGTCATTGGCCAAACATGAATTACCATAATATTTTTGGTTTTACTCTCGCCTGCAGATCTCCCATTGTAAAGATAGGGGCTTCAAGAACCCTCGTTGCACGACATGTGGCTACAAAGGTAGCAACATTCTCATCAAGAGGACCCAATTCAATATCACCAGCGATTCTGAAGGTAAATATCATCTCTTTTTTCCTACATGTCCAACCTCGTAAGCGTTACTTGACTTTGTATGTTTTGATGCAGCCGGATATAGCAGCACCTGGTGTGAACATACTTGCAGCTACTTCCCTTAATGATTCTTTAAATGCCAATGGATTCTCTATGAAATCTGGTACATCAATGGCTACTCCTGTAGTTTCAGGAATTGTAGTGCTCCTCAAATCATTACATCCTCACTGGTCTCCTTCTGCTATCAAGTCAGCTATTGTCACCACAGGTTCTTAGTTATAATAATGTTTTTTTACTTTGGCCAATAACATTTTCAAGAAGTTATTGGTACTGAGAAACATTCTTCTTTTTTTTTTTTGCATTGCAGCTTGGAAAACTGATCCATCAGGGGAGCCAATCTTCGCAGATGGGTCAAGCCGCAAGCTAGCTGATCCGTTTGATTACGGAGGAGGCCTCGTGAATCCAGAGAAAGCTGCAAGGCCAGGTCTCGTATACGACATGGCCACACATGACTACGTCTTGTACTTGTGCGCAGCTGATTACAGTGACATGTCCATATCCCGTGTCCTAGGAAAAGCAACCATCTGTCCTAATCCCAAGCCATCTGTTCTTGATCTCAACTTGCCTTCCATCACAATCCCAAACCTTAGAGATGAAGTCATTCTCACAAGAACAGTTACAAACGTTGGACCTCTCAATTCAGTATACAAAGTCATGATCGATCCTCCAACGGGTGTTGATGTGATTGTTACACCAACGACACTTGTGTTTAACTCTACAGCTACAAAGTTATCTTTCACGGTTCGAGTGACGACTACACACAGAGTAAACACTGGCTACTTCTTTGGAAGTTTGAGTTGGAGTGACAATGTACACAATGTAGCCATCCCAGTATCTGTGAGAACTCAGATCATGCAACGATACTACGACGAGAACTGATGAATCATAATAAGTCAAAAGCAGTTTGGTAAAAAAAGAAAAATAGTATTGTGTAATTTTATTCTTTGTTCTGTTCATTCTGTAGTTTATGTTGTTAATAAATCCGGAAACCCTAAATGGAATTGTCATTAAGAAAGTTTAACTAGTTTATTAATTTAAAATGAATGTTAAAAATAGTTCAACTATAAAAAGAAGAGGTTGAAGACCGAGAAAGAATATTCACAAACACAAGCTTTTGGAAGACGTTCTTGCCAAATGGATATGTTCTCCAAGCTGCAGAGTAAATAAATACGCGTACCTAAATCAGTGTGCTCTTATGGGTCTATTTAGATTGATTGGATGAAGAAGACAAGAACCTATAGTGACAATGGCTGATCTAAATGGCAGCCCAATCACGATGGACAGCTTTAACAAGTGCAACAACTCCTGAAATAACAGGAGCTGCCATTGATGTTCCTGACAGCATAATAAATCCTCTATCGTATCGTTTAAGGTGGTTTTGGTGGTTGTAGCGTCCAATATGCTCGCTCCTGGTGCTTGCTATATCCGGCTGCATTCAGATGACATACTTTGAGAATAGCAGGGGCAATTTGAATTAGGCCCTCTTGATGAGAAGGTTGCCACCTTTGTACCAACGGGCAAGTGTTCTAGATTGTCCTATCTTCAAAACAGGAGATCTGCAAACCAATGTAACACCGTTTTACCTGCAATTCTAAGTGGTGAAGGTTTTATTAGTATGTATATGTGTTTCATTACCCTGTGGAACGTATGTAGGCAAGTATATTTGTCCCAAGCTCGTAGTAGTCAACGGAAACACAAGGAAAATCATCTGAACATGGTCTTGCTATTGATTACACCGAGACCACCGGCTCTCTTCACAGAACCTGCAGCACTTGATACAGTACCACTACAAGATGGTGTTGTGAAACACAATATATACCACTTTCCCCACCATTGTAAAATTAGAATTTAAGGAAGGATCCTCACAAGTCCTTCCTTCATTACAAGAATTAATCAGAATATTTGCAGAGTAATTGTTCAGAAAACATATAATTTGACCCTGCAATATAAGTTACCAGTATCAACTTATTGTTCCCTAGTGTGATAGGACCGGTCTACAGTAATTGCAGCCACAGTGAGGATCCAAGGAGCCGTGTTTTGTCACGGTTTGAGCCTCTGGGCCAGAGTTGCCACCTGCACAAAACAACGGTAATACCCTTTAAGACGGCAGAGAAGGCTCCAGTGGTTATTCCATCGCGGATATCAGTTTCGCCATACAGAGGGAGAGAGAGACAGAACATCAACACCATCATGAATTGCCTCAGTCCATAGCTTTCAAAATGTCAGCAAATGAACAAGTTGTTATGTCTAAATCATCCAGATACCAACAATCAATACGAGCATTTGGTGCCCCCACCTCTCATATATAGTCCCTCCAGCTAGGCCCTTGTAGCTTATGTCTGGCACGTAAGAACCGGCAGCTATGGTCAACATGTGTGTTATGACTGTTAAGGTCGGTCTCTAGGGGAAATGAAATCAAGTGATTCTTTGGAGTTGAAGCTTTTGTTCTCCTCGAGAAAGCCATTGATGAAATACTTTTGCTTCTATGAGCTTTTTATTGCATTAATAAAGAAGCCCAGAAGATGATTTTAAAGCAACACAAGACTTGAGAAATCTGCATTGAGCATAGATGAAATTTACAAAAGAAACTGTCATACCGGTGTCAATAATGTCGATGATATTTTTTTCACCTATAATTAGTTTCATTTAGAAGATTCTTTGGACTAAAAATGATGATGATAGGTTCGTCTTCTTCCATACTTGTCTTTCCATTACAGTTCTTTTGCTGTGCTTTCAATTTGGCTAAGAGGAGTATTGATGCTAGGGAT